ACAATGTTTCATTTTTAATAGATCTTATTTTAAAAGTCCTTAAATTAAAAATTAAAAAAATCTAACGAGAAACAGATTAATAAATAAATAAGATGCATATTCTACACTCGGAATTGTTATGAAATAAAATTATAAAAGGCAATTTAAAAAACAACTAAATTCTATCCCGTGGGGGGGAGGGTGGAACTGTTTCATAAGTGTTAAAAGAGTTGTCCAAATTCCAATTAAAGGCGAAAAATCTATATAATTACGCTATGTTTCAGCGTAAATATATTTTAGTCAGAAAAGCGAAGAAAAGCATTCCAAAAATCGATGGCTTTTATTTTGCTTGCCCGAACACTAACTGTATTCGAAGGGAAACTGATGTCAGGTTTCCACTATACCTACCCGTTTCGTTTACCGCATGTGTAAAACATAAAAATATACCATAAAATGATTACTCGCCTAACACGCTTGTCTCTTGTGCATCACCGGAATTCGTGCGCGCGCGCAATGTCAAAAGTCCGTACCCATAATATATTGACGACGGATGTTCCGCAGGTGTGCTTGGGCGACACGGTCATGGTGGACGTTGAGAACGCCATGATGGAGGAGTCGACGTCCGTCCACTGGCACGGGCACCACCAGCGCAACTCGCCGTACATGGACGGCGTGCCGTACGTGACGCAGTGTCCGGTGCCGCCGCACAGTTCGTTCCGGTACGTGTACGTGGCCGACAACGAGGGCACGCACTTCTGGCACTCGCACTCCGGATGTCAGCGGGGCGACGGAGCGTTCGGGTCGTTCGTGGTGCGGGCCCCGAAGTCGCGGGACGTGCACCGCGACATGTACGACGTGGACGTGCACGTCATCACGGTCACCGACTGGCTGCACGAGCTTGGCATCCGCAAGTTCCTCGCCCACTACCACGGTTCGGGCGACAACAAGCCCGAGTCCATTCTGGTGAACGGCCGCGGCCGTTACAAAGTGTTCGACGGCGGTTACCGCACGCCCCTGACTCAGTTCAACGTGACCAGAGTGAGTATTTCAATACGTAACCTATACCCGTCCGCCATATACATAAAATGGGTAAATATAGACGTCCTGATCGTCAATACGCGCTATACCGTGTTCTTGTATAGACTGAAGTCCTGCGAGTTAGTAGCATACTCGTACCACCATCTAAAACACCTGTAACATGTTTCTATGCAACGGTATACCCATATCTACCACCCACCCCAACCTACCGGAAGTTCATTAACTCCCCTTTTAATAGTCTTTCTCGAGTCGTGATCGTTCTCAGCGTACCGATTTTACCGATTTCAATCCCGAGGTGTCTACGTCCGCCGCGCTAAAATTAGCTATGAAACTATTGCCTGGATTGAACCATAGCGCCGGCGCCACTAATAGGAGTACATGTTTCAAAACTTTTAAAACCCGAGTGATTTTTTCGCTGGGGTAATAGGTGTTGTGCCTAGTGTACATAGTTCGTCATCGCGTATAAAATATCAGACCAATCTCTTTCCACTAAAATTGTATCTAATGCGCACTGCAAGTTAAAAATAAATCTCAATAGATAAACGGTTGTAACAAAAAAATAGATAGATACCTACTAGCTCTTAATAAATGTATATTTAATAAAGTATAATAAAATTTTATGAATTATTTAAAAAATTTGCCATATTTCACAAAAAGCTGAGTAGAATAAAATTATTTTATTTCAACAGGCGTGTAATAACTATATCTACATAGCGTGTCTATACATAACGCGATCTATGAACAGCGATAATAGTTATTATTTATTATGTGTGCAGATTTCTTAGTTTATTACAATCTTTATGACTTGAATAATCTTCAATTTTTCATAAAATACGGAAATAACAAATATATTTCTATGCGTGAAAAGTAAAACGACTAAATAGGTAGTTTAATATAAATAATATAGGTACCTAATAATATTAAATTTAGGTATATATATCATATTAAATAAGTTTTTTTTATTTACTTGACATAAAAAAAATTAATTTTTTTATTTGTTTAGTCGATATTACTAATTATTTAATTTATAATAAATATTTCGTAAAAAATAAGGTTAGCGCGTATAGCTAGTATTTATCAGTTATTATATGTATTAACTTATAGTTAATCGATTCTTTGTGAAGGTTTTGTTAATTGTTACTTGTTAGGTACCCATATATCTATATATATATATATAGAAATCAATTTTAATTAACTTCGATATTATCTAAATGTTTTAATATTTTTATATTGTTTAGGGTAAACGATATAGGTTTAGACTGATTAACGCTGGATTCCTAAATTGTCCGATTTCAATGAGTATCGATAATCATACGTTTACTATGATTGCAACAGATGGATATAATGTTCAACCAGTAGTAGGTGAATAATAATATAGTTACTCTAAAAAAAAAAAATTATCAAAATAATAACGTTATTAGTTTCCATATAAATACTATAACAATGATAGTAATATGACATAAATATGAATATGTTTACAGTCGATTCATTTGTAAGTTATGCTGGTGAACGTTGGGATTTTATCGTGGAAGCAACAGCTAATGTTGGCAATTATTGGATGCGATTTAAAGGATTAATGGACTGTGATGAAAGGTTCACCAAGGCCTTTGAAGTATCAATTTTGCACTACGACGGAGCTAGTGACGAAGAACCAGAAGGCACACCTACATATGACAATACACTTCATTCCGGAATTGTAAATTTAATGCACAATTAGAAAATAATATCAATACTTTTTTGTTTTATAACCATATTTGATAATTAATATATTTAAATAAACAATAATTATAGCAATTGAATGCACTGAATAAAGGATCGGGATTAATGGACACTGCTACTGTATCAGAATTGGAAGATGCTACACCTCCAAAACACGATCTTCGTTTAGCAAAAAAACCAGATGTTACGTTATTTATGTCATATGATTTTTATTCTTTAGATAATCCTCATTTCCATAAACCTATGTTGTATGGATTCAAACAAGGTCAGTAATATAATAGTTTAATCAAATTTTGAAATCGGTTTAATGAATAAATATTTTTATATTTATATATTATAGTATCGCATAAGTCTGAACGTGTTTACACGCCACAAATTAACAAAATGTCTTTCAAGCTTCCATCATTTCCATTGTTATCTCAAAGAGAAATGATAGAACCTTGGATGAGTTGTGATAATTTAAAGAAAGATTGTTCTAAAGAATTTTGTGAGTGCACAAATATTATTAAAGTTCCTCTGGGGTCAGTCGTTGAACTATTTCTCATTGATAAAGGTAAATAAAAATATTGAAAAAAAAACGAAACTTATACCTATGGCCCTATAACCTAACTATACATATTTCCTTATTAATTTTTAAGGTGTAACATACAACGCAAATCATCCATTCCATTTGCACGGACATCCATTTAGAGTAGTTTCGATGGAAAGAGTTGGAAACCATACTACTGTAGAAGAGATAGAACAAATGGATAGAGATGGGCGCATTGTAAGAAATCTACGGACTGCACCGCTAAAAGACACCGTGACAGTACCAGATGGTGGATTTACAATACTGCGTTTCATAGCGGATAATCCAGGTAATTCATTAATGCAATGTGAATAATACTTTAAAAGGGAACTTCAACAATTAACAATTATTAATACCAATTGGTTTTTAATAATAGGTTATTGGTTGTTTCATTGTCATATCGAGTTCCATGTTGAAGTGGGCATGGCAACCGTGTTCAAAATCGGTGAAGACTGGGACATGCCGCCGTCACCTCCGGGTTTTCCGAAATGTGGAAACTATAACGGGAAAGGATTAGTGTCAATGTTGTATCCCGAAGACATGGATTCGATGTACGTGAAAAAAAATAAATCCCACCACAGTGATGGTTCGGACATAGATATCGAAAGTCGTACGAATATGATATCCACGTTAGGCAAATGGTGGCCATTCGTCGGAGGCGCACATCCTTATGTAGCATCTACTGCTAGTATTAACTCATCGTATTTCTCAATTTTATTATGTATTGTGATAAGCTTTTTAGTTATTGAATAACGCGAAGTTATAATAAATAAAAAGCTTATTGTTGATTAAAATGTGTATTATAAAATTTATATTTGTAAGTAATTGTGTATTTAAATTTATTGTGAATTGTGATATGTACATATTCTATAGTTATAAATAAATAAATGTTTACTTTATAATCGTTGCCAGTCTTTACTCTTTATGTCTTATTCAATTGGTTGGTAAGTTATATAGGTACTGATTACAATATATGAAATCACCAATGAATGTTTTTTACAATTATAAATTATAATAACACGAATCTTCTAGCTAAAATCCACACACATTGACTTTAAATGTATAATTATATTTAAAAAAACATATTATAATTTAAGATTCTTATTTAATTTTTATGATTACTTATCTATAGTAAATACTTATTAAAGTTATGTTGAGATTGTATTCCACCAAAAAAATAATTGCCATTAAAAGTAGTTTTATTCACAATTTCAGTATCATGGACTTTATTTTACTTAATTGAACAAGTTTTCAAAGTAGGTATGGATAGTTTTATTAAATTATAAGTGTAAAGCGAATAGTAATATCATATATTCCACCTTTATTTGAAGATAGTGGTAAGTTTATTGATAAGAAGGTACCTAATTATTTTAACATCTACAAATTGTATCTCATAATTTATATTTTTACATTATAGATTTAGATAGATTGATTAACCTAAATTTTTTAAGTTATTCAATATCAAATAGCATTAGTATAAATTGTTCATATTATAAATGTTGCAATAGATAAATATAAAGTTTAACCAGTACTCGGTACTATACTCTATCCACGACCCAACAAAAATCAGTTTTTATGTATATTCTCAAGCATCCCCACAGAGGGGTTGAATGACAGGCTGTTGCATGGAGATGTGTATAATTGGTGTTTCCTATTTCTCGACAAATCACTAATAAAAAATTTAATTACACATATATATATACTAAAATAATAACACTATTTACTTCAACACAAATTACTAACAATCATAACAATATGTACATGTTAACAGTTGATTAATTTAAAAGTAATGTATGTGAAAATTGAGATTTTGTAGTATAAGTAACAGTTTATGTTGAACAATTATTGGATACAATTAAAATTATTAGACTGTGATAAAAGGTTCGCCAAGGTTTTTGAAGTATCAATTTTGCAATATGGCAAGGACTGATAACAAAAAGTTACCGTGTACTGTGTCAGAGTGCTCCCAAAGTATGACAATATACTTCATTCTAAAATTGTAATTATAATACATAATTAATAAATAGTATTAATACTTTTTTGTTTTTAGTTATATACAATGATTACAGTAATTGAATACACTAAATAAAGGATTAAGATTAATCAATACTATTATTGTATCAAAATAAGAAAATGCAACATTCCATAAAAACAAGATGCTCATTGATACATAGGTAGCATCCAACCCTAATAATTATAAACACAATTTCTGAATTTTATAATATAAAGTGACGAGCTTTAAGGTTAGTCTTTAATAAGTTTAAGTTATTATTTATATTAATTAATATTTAATACACACGTGTATATTATATTTTAACTTATAGCTTATTGCCATATATTATTAAATGAATATTAATAAAATAGGTGTTTACCATGAATTATAATAACAATTCTTTATTCTGAAACTGTTTCTGACTGTTGTAATCTTTTATCATGAGCTTGTAGCTCAGGTGTATTATCATACTCAAATATTCGAGATGTTTTTTGTTCCTTAACAAAATACCTGCAATAAACATAAATATAATTGACTATTTTTTTTCTGATTTATATTTATACATACAGATCTCTTTCAATTTGACTTTGACTTTGCCATTCTTTTACTTCGTCCATTGTTAAAGAAGAAAATCTTAATATTAATAAAGTAATACCTCCAACAAAGATACCTAAAATACCTCCTAAAACAAACATAAATAGATCAGGGAAAAGTTTGTTATATTTTTTAAAACTAAGAAATTTAATTTTAAAAATAAATAGATCAGGCTTTTTCAAATGAAATAATATAATAAGTTACAATTTTATTACTAAAATAATAAATACTTAGTTAATTGAAAAATAGATTTTTTCTAATTTCGGAATTCTACATTAACAAGTTATATTATATTTTTACTGTTTAAAATATTAATAACATTATGTAATAGGTAAGTAAAAGCTAAAGATAAATGTCATATATAGTCCAATGTGTTTATATTATCTATATTTAAATTGTTTATATCATGATGTATTGTGTTATATTATACTAAAAATACTTACCCAATGTAGATCCAACAATAAAACCTTTCATACCAAAACTTATTCTTGTAATTCCACCTACTATAAAACCACTTAATGCATAACTAAATACAGTAACTTTTTGAGTGTACGCATTCACAGCGGTTACCACGGTTCTGAAAAGAAAAATAATGAATAACACTTTAAGTTAACAAATATAACATAATATATACCAATAGCAAATAAGTTACTTTTCAATTATAATTATGTAGCTGGCCATGTACAAGCAACCGTGTATGGAGCTTGTGCAATAGTCGTGAAATAAATAATCATTAATACTTTGAAGTGTTTTTTTTTTCTTTTAATTAAAAGATTTTCTAAGTTTAAATGACCAAATCCTAACACAAAACTGGTATAAAGGTACTTGCTCTAATTTTTATGATTTAGGTCTAAAAAAGTCCCATTTCAGGCTCTCATAAATAGGTTTTTTCCCCACTATTCTTAGTCAAGAGATGAGCACTACCGTTTTTCAATAGTACACACATGATGCATCTTCGAATTCATGTTTATGTGTAATAATCCTAATATCTCACATAATCTGGATGACTTTCCTCTCACACTTAAATCTTTCATATTGTAATTACACGTAATTGCATCTATCTGGTAAACATAACTGTGTGATTTTTTGTGCCTAACAAGTTACACTATTCCTTTAATATGAGATGTGTAATATAATGAAAATAAAAATTCTATTTATGCATATTAATGAGTATAGGATATAACAGGCTTACTCATAATTATATGTAATATTTTTGTATTTTACTATCCCTTGTTATATATTGGAAATTGGAAAGTGTTATCTACGTTATGAATCCTACATGTATTATATTAATTATTAAAGGATATCAGAGAACATAGCATTTTTTTTTTTTTTTTTTGTTCCAAAATTATATGCATATAGTTTTACTTTTCTACTAATGCACTATATAATAAATAATACACTATGTTGTAATGTAATGATAAAAAATACAGTTTGTATGCCTATTAATAATAAAAATTATATAAGAAAAACGAGATACTATGCATTAATTTTATCAAACAAACAACCTTTCGATAATTGCTTTAATCAAAACTCTGCTATCTATTTTCTAACGTTAATTTTCAATCAACTAAGCACAGACTTCCCTTCAAAATTTTTTCCAGCCAATGATAATTAAACTTATTAAAAATTTACGTTTGCAGAAATTAATTGATATAATTTATAATGTTTAACAGTTTATGAAATTAAAAAGGTGTAGGTTATCCTTTAATAATTTAAGCCAGTTATTTTTCCAAAATTTATTCATTTTTAATAATTAGAAGTTTCTTTAGGATTCTTCTTTTAATTTATTAAAAGTTCTAAGTTAATTTTTAATTTATAAAATATTTACATGTTACCGGAGATAACTTTACTCATAACACTATGATTGATTTTTGGCATTTTATCGACATAGATAACAAAATTTGTTTGACATTGTGAAGTACAATAATGATCATAATAAAATCTAAAATAATACACTTTAATTTAATAGTATTGAATTTAGATCAATAAAAATCTTATGCTATATGTATAAAGAAAAAATGGCATTGTTATTATTTTGGATGTTTTTAATAGTTGCCAATACATATATATTTAAGATTAAGATATTAAATTTATTAGCAATCATAATTTATTATACTTAGAAAATAGATTATAATCACATTTGATTTATTAATTTAATAAATATAAAAAAACAGGTAGGTAATCACAGAATTTTTTTACAATAATAACAATAAGTTTAATTCTCTTAGAATCCAAAATATAAAATATATTATTTACACTGAAAACTTACGTAAAACAACCGCAGAAAAGTGCTATTCTAGTTCCCCATTTAAAGACACCTCTTGCCATTGCCAATGTTACTTGAGATTGGAGTTTAGCCTAAAAAAAACATTCATGCATATTTGATACAATAGTTTAGATCTAGATAATAATATATATTAGCAATACCCAAACTATGAGCATCTAAAAAGTGAAATACTAGGTTAATATTGATATTGTGTAGAATACACACTAATAAAAATGTTTGTATTATTATTTATTCAAAGGAACCGCGGTATCTTTATTTTTTGGGATGTGTAAACCAAAAAATTTGAGAATTGTTAGTACAAACTATAAATTATAATCACATACTTTGGCTTCAAACTGATTTTGAAACAGTGTTGATTGGTTTTTCTGAAAAAAATCTTCATAAGCCCGTTTACTGTATGATAAACTGCCATACACACCACCCAACAAACTGCTGTAACATACTGTCGATAATATAGCTCTTACATCTGGAGATGGATTACCATCTTCACTGAAAACAAATACAAATTTTAATAATCCCAAATGGTCCAATTGAAGTTAATTTTAATTTATTAAAAATTTAATCCTACTCTGGGGAAAACGCGTTCACAACACCTTGCCAACCACCGACTTTTTTTACATCTAAGACTTCTGTTCCTTCTATATCGTATTCATTTTTATTTAAGAAAAACGCCGGTAAAAAACACCGTGTATGGGATAGTTTTAATCGTCTAAAAAACATAGTTTTAATACATTAATATTATACAATTACTTTAAACGATAAAACCTTAGATTAAAAATCTATTTAAAATTTAAATTTAAAAACAATATATTACAAACAAATGTATAAAAAATTACAGATAGATTTAATATAAATTTTATTTTTGTGTAAAAATAAAGCACACTTAATTCGTGTATTATATTATCAGTTATCACATAATATTCATTATTCACATGATAAGCTTATCGTCATTCATAAATTGGCCAAATAGGTACATTTTATCAAACTGTTCAAATTTCTTTCGAAAAAATATGTAGTTAAACGTTAAACCTGTGGTTAAACAATTTGAACAAATAAAAAATATTTAAATGTGGAATTTAATATAATTGGAATTAAATTTACTTTGAAAAAAAAAAATTATAGATCAAAAAATAGTTGTCCAAATCATTTCATGTATTTTGTGTTTTGTGTACTATACTACATATTTTTCACGGACCACAATCTTTTGTTCTAGAATTTTTTTTGTTGATGAGTACACAGAATAAATGAAATTATATTTCTGTGATGTGTATTGTGTATTTGTGTATAGTATACTGAATTTTTATTTATTGTTTAGTATATTTTCAGTAAGAATTAAATTTCTAATACAGGTCATAAGAGCCATGAACAAATTATTTTGCCATGATTAGAACAAGACAATTAAATGATCAATCTCAGTATTGTACACAATATTTCTAAGTTGATCATCTATTTGTTAATATTTTTAAATTTACTATTATTTATTTATCTATCCCATAATAAATCTCATTGATCGTTGTCAATAATACTTTTATATATATTAATGGCTCTTTAAAGAAAAAATATTTTAAGACTTCAGTAGATAGTCATAAAAAAAAATATTTGCCACCCTTGCAATAGAGTATTTACTAAAATATTAAAGAGTAGAATTTTACCTATAAATTTATCAACACAAACAGATGTATTTTAAACTTATATCGGTTTATGTTGAGGAATTTCTTATATATTATTGTCTTTATAAATATATTTTTTTACGTGTGTCGCAATTAAAACATTCTAAATGGTAAACAATTGAAGTATTGAGCATTTTTAAGTATAAGCTTAAATAGGTCTTAAGAGACCAGAGTACATGAATAATAACTAGTAAATAACTTAACAAAAAAGTAGTAAATTTATATTTATATCGTTATTATTTGTACTTCTACAATTTTACACTAGTCTTTTCTACACCTACCCATCTATTTACTATTTTGTTAAACAATTTGTATTTTTCCTTATTACTTTATAACAATATAAATTGTAAAATATAGGTCTAGTTCACCTCTGTATGTTATAAAGAGTGGCAACTGCTTTTCAATGCTCAGTCTGAATAACTAAAGAGTAATTACTGCTTCTATTGTTTTAATGGTTGTTGTCCAATATCTTGCTTAATCTACATAATATTTATAGATTATTGATAATGATTATAACAAATCTCATGCTAAAAATAATTAATTTGATCTTTAAAAAATTTATTAAAATAAATGACATAAAATACATTTTATACTCTTAAAAATAAGTATTTACTATTTACATACACAAAAAAAGGAAATAGTATGATATATAAAACAGTTATTCGGTATTTTTTTCAGTAAATGCTCCTAAGTTACCAAATAATTCAGCAGGCACATCTTTTTTAGTAGGCATATCTTCATCGTTTTCTTCATTTTCCTTGTCGCCATCGACTTCATTTTCATCATCACTGAATTCAATTTCATCTGGATTTATTACTTTTTCATTTGGTAAACGGTCTTGTTCACTACCCAAAACAAATTTGATAGGTTCCAATGGTTTTTCTTTGGTTTCTAATGCTTTTTCTTCTAATAACTTCATATCACTCTTTTCTGGTTCAGTAGAAATGACAGACATCATTTGTGCTGACATCATGTTCACTTGGATATTGTACATTGCTTGAACACTTCGTTTAATTCTTAACATTTCTCGGAGGGTATCTTCATTACCATGAGCTACTTCAAATGAAGTCCATGTCTGCCAAAATTCTTCAGTTACTCTAGGGTCACAAATTTGACTACAATGTGAATATATAGCTCGAGCTCGATCAATTTCACCTAATTTTGTTTCAAGTTCAGCAAATCTTAGATACATTGTTCGAGCATTGTTGTTCGTTAAAACTTCCAAAGCTTTCATATAGATTTCTCTAGTCTTTGGTATACCAGATATTTCTGCTGCCTTTTTAATGTAAATGTTAAACATTTCAAACTTCTCTTCAGGTAGAACAGCTTCAGTGGCTCTTTCATAAACAGCCATTGCTCGTCTACCTAAACCATGTTTTTCTTCAAGCTTAGCATACAATAAATAAATACACTTGGCAAATTGTGGTGGGCAACCTTCTAGACATTCCTCAAAAAGATCACGAGCACGTTCAAGTTTTGTACCACCATAACGGTCCAAAAATTTTGTTAAATATGTATTCCATATATCAAAAACATTTGGCCACTTGAATAAAGCTACACCTTTTTCATAAGCTTTAAACATTTCTTCAAAATAGTTATTTTCTTCTAAAAATAATCCGTAATTAATAATAGTTTGTGGAGTTGCAATTCTTAAATCTATAACACGATCATAACAAGCCATTGTTGATTTGACCGTTCCAAAACTCTCTTCCATATCCAAATATAAGGACCATAATTTTAATGATTTATGTAATCGTATTTGAACGGTTTCTGTATCGTCATGATAGGCTACTTTGCGAGAAGGTATGGAAGTTGCTTGTCGCATTAATCTCATTGCTTCATTAAAGTTCTCATTTCTCAATTCCATTTCTATCCATTCACACCAAACACTGGCTAAATGTTCGACTTTAATATATGACACTAAAACAGCTTTTTTAAATACTAAACGTGCTTCTTCAATTTGTTTTGCTTTTTCATAAAATTTAGCAAACTCAACCCAAAGTGTATGCAACCTACCAACAGCTTTTTGAGGATCAACTGTCTCTACAGCTTCAGTAAAAGTATTTATTACCTGAACATCATTTCCTTCATAAAGCTGTACACGTTTTAACCATTCTTTAACGTTGTGGGGATTTTGCCTTAAAAGTACTGAGTTTAAAAGTAGTAATCGTCTTTCAATCAGGTTTTCCAACCTTGCCATACGTAAATCAATTTCACAATCATCTTTCTCAGTACTATTTTGATTAGCATGAACAACTTCCATTCTTTTTTGTAAGCTTAATTCTTCAAATTGTGCATAAGCATCATAAACTTGAGTAAAATCACGAACCGTTGTAACAGTTTGAATAGCCTCTTCATATATATCTCTTGCTCTTTCAAATAACCCGCTACGTATGTAATAATCAGCTAATGAGTTCCACAAATGACCAAGCTGATCAGTATAACGTCTTAAACCACTACGAATAATTGCATCAACATTTAATGATTTAATTTCTAAAGGATTTTTTGATATTAGATTACATAGTTCATTCCAAAGTTGATGCTTAGATTTACCATGTTTTGATACAAAACTGTCATTGTTTACAATTTCAGACAAACGTACAGCAGCTTCATCGAGGCGCCCAGATGTGGTCAAGTATTCAATATAATCTTCGGAATCTTCTGGAAATAATTTTAAATATCTCCTATATATTTTAACAGCAACTTCTGGGTCATGACTTTCCTTTATAAATTTTAAATATAACGGCCATATTCGGACATGTTGAGTGATTGGTAAGGCTCTAAGGGCCCTATCAAAGAGACGACGAGCAACTGTGAGTTTAGGTTGTTTCAACATAAATGTACAGAACTCAATCCAAATTCGAGGCATCTTGTTCATATATACCAATGCTCGCTCATAAACATTGTTCACTTCTTCGTAGTCAGGATTGTCTGTTGTTTTTAAATACTTGCGACGTATTTTCAAGTAATTGTGCCACAGTTTGTAGCTTCCAGGCAGTTGTTTTAAGGCGCGTTCATAAAGTACGCATACTTTTTTGTATGGCCCCAGTTTATAATTATCTATATACCGCATCCAACATTTGACTGAATTTGGATTTCTCAATATGTCTTGTTCAAATTCTACATCTCTCTTGTTCAGACAGTATGTCTGGAATATCACAGCATCCGACATGCCATTACCTACATTTCCTCGTACCACATTGACGTTACTTTCGAGTTCCATTTTCATTGGATCTGTAAACAGGCGTAAATACATATCGTAATTATTGATTCATAAAATTCAACACAAAAATCCATAAAACATTATCTTACCAGCAATCGACCGATTTCAGTCACGCATTAACGTCGGCAAAGACAACTATAAACTAATTGTACAACTAGAAATGCACAAAAAAGTATAATACTATGTTATCCAAAACACCAAAACGTTAAATTATAAAATTTTTATTAAAAATCTACATGTAGCATGTACACGATTGATAACGTTCTGTTACGTTTTTAACCACACTTGTTTTTATACTAGAAGTGAGGAACGTTTTGAAAACGATAATGCCCAATGCCGACTGCAGACCTTATCAGTAAAATTAAAAAAATATTTTTGATCAAGTTGAAAATGTTAAGATAATTAATTGTACAGTCTTGATTTTCAGTTTCTATTGTTTCTAAACGTTTTCGATTTTTCTATTATAGTCAACTTGGGAAAATGACCTTACATAAAATGTTAAGGTTTACGACAAACCAATTGTCTTGTAAGTATGAAAAAATGTATTTAAAAATATAAACATTGAATTATTGTGAATTGTGATGTTTAAACATTCAATATCTATGTTTTAGGTACTGCTCTACTACCACAAATCAATAATGTTCGAGGCATTAAGAATTTTAAACCTCCAATTCTATATGATCGTAAGAAATAAGGGAGATTTCTCAATAATAATAGACTTGTTGTGTATACTGTATACCTACACTTGTTTCAGATATTCAGATGCCAGAAAGGCCTAAACTCCATTACATCGATAGGGTACCAAATTATAGTAATAGTCAAATGAGGCCTCCAAAAATGCATAGAATGTTGGGTTTGATGAGAGGGCCTGAAACAGTTCACAATAAACTTATACATAAACAGTATGGTATACAAGTAAGTTTTTTAAATTGAATTTATTCCTTAGTAGTAAACATTATGATTTAAATGTAACTAAATCAAGTACATTTTACTTATAAAGTTAAAAATTAATTGTACTTATATATTTAATTTAATTATTTCTATAGGCAACTGGTGGAGGACGAATGAGGTTTATACACTTTGAAGTTATTCGTATGGGCTTACTAAGAAAATTAGACTGGTCCAGAATGTTTGCTATTTGGAGAATTGATTCACCATGGCAAGCTGTCACTAAAAAGGTAAATTATACATATACGTTTTAGAATACAAACAAATTAAAAACATGTGCAAATGAATTTTGCAGGGCCAAGGGCAGAGAATGGGAGGTGGCAAAGGTAGCATAGATCATTATGTAACTCCAATTAAATCAGGCAGGATTATTATTGAAATTGCGGGCCATTGTGAATATCAAGAGGTTTGTGTGGTTGATCAATAACCTGTTTTAAACATTAAATAGTATTTATTTTTGTCGAAACCTTCATTGTCTATAATATTATTATATTATTTCTTTAATTATCTAAATTAGTTATTAATTAGCAACTTAATATATTATTATAGGTAAAAGATATTTTAAGTAAAATATCTGCTAAACTTCCATTTAAAGCCAAAGCTATTAGTCAAGAAATTTTAGAATGGGATTTAGCCAAAGAAAAATGGCAAACTGAAAATAATCAAAATAAATATACAATGGAGTATTTAATTAAAAACAATATGGATGATTTACAACGAAAAATTAAAAGAATTGATCATTTATATTTTGGAAAATATGTATAAAATACTATGTGTTAATAATAAGCCTAAATAGTTAAAACTTAAATTTATAATTTTTGTTTGTTTGAATAAAATAATTTGTATTAAATTTGAATAGTTACCTGTTATTATTTAATCCTTTGTATTATATGAATTTACAGCTATTATAACTTATAATTAGGGCTAGGATTTATACAGTAAATAAAATTGTAAAATAAGCATTTGGCTTTTTAAAAATATACAATTAATATTAAATATGATATATATATTTTTAAAAAATTATATATTTTAAAATTAATTAAATAATATTTTAAACTATTCACGCTACTAGAATGTATTACACAAAACAATTACATGGTGTTTTAAATTTTCTAAACTGGACGGTCTTTCATTAAACCTTAAAATAGGTATACCTTCAATAGGTATTTTTGAACAGTGTCAATACATACTGTCGTATGATAAAAACGTCTAGTTACAAAATATACCATAAGATATGCATTTTTTCTTAAGTATGCAAAAATATGCAAAATAAAATCACCATTGTTTATCTCATGATGAGATGACTCATGAGCATTACTTACAAAAGCAATAATCAAAAGTTGCAAAAAAAATATACTATTGCATATAAATCCTAGCCCTACTTATAACTAATGGAGACCATTGATGAGTGAATTTCTTGGTTACTGGTTTGCATGATATTATTTCTTTAAATATCATAAAATGTTTAATGTGCTATAAAAATGACAAAATATCAATATAAGTATTGTGTAGTGATCTATATGATACCACGATCAATGGATCACCAAAAATAATATCATAGGTACTAACGAGCAACGACAAAAATTAAAGCTGTAAATTCCAGTGTGAGGTTATAAAATATTCTTGATTTAAATTAAATAACATATTAAAATTAATGTTTCACAAAGTGTGTCAATTAGGGACATACGGCATAATCGGGTTGTGAGGTTTGAGAAAATGTCATAATCTTAGTATTATTGTAAATTAATATTAAATGAAACATATATAATTGATATTTTATATCGAGGTTTTCTTTGTGGCGAAACGGTCACAGAAAATTTTTCTAAACCCATAAGACAATAGGTATTTTATTTATGTAATAACAAAATATATGCTACCTATATAATATTGTATTACAATATTTATAATTACTGAATTAATTGTTAAAAATTGTTTATTTTTTTGCGATAATTAACTGATACTTTTAAGAATTATAGATAATAATAAAATAATTATAAATTTAATTTTAAAATAATGATATTGTTAATGGGGAATGGGGATGAAACAACACATATTGAAGATGGTACACCTACTTTAGATTAAATCTAAAAAATAAATGAATGTATTTTACAAAAAATTGGAATAAATTAAACTAATTACAGGAAAATCTGGCTAAATTATTTGTTGCTTCATACTCTTTGGAACTTTGGAGAATATACAAATATACACACTATGTCAACACCTCCTACTGAAATGTGGTGTGAAAAATCTTTTTCTTTCATAAAAAATACTAAGAGTTCATACTTAACCGTCGATTATTTTCCGGGACAGGTCCAAAATTCTAATCCGTCCCTGCAGATATGTATTTATGTAATATTTGTATGTATTAATATTTTAAACCGAATCAGTTACTTAAGAACTTTGCTTGTTTACAATATGTATTTTGATGAAATTTTAACGAATATGCCAAATTCAACGGACATTATCTATGACGAATAAAATAATAATATAATAATGTGTAACATTAACATATTAACACGAACATTGTAATAAAATATATTTCGACAATAATTACGATAAAAATGGTGAAAATGAACAATGGTACCTATTTTGGGAATGTGTTGTAATGTTACTGTAGAAAAATATGGTAATAAGGTATTAAATACCTTTCACAAATTAATATAAGTAGATTATAAGAACACTTGTAAGTCGTAACTCTTGTGCAGGAGCTCAACGTTCATCGTTCACAGTAAAAAGTCCTGATAAATATTAATGTACATAAAAAAATTAAAATGTAGAAAATAAAAAAAATGCTTAAATTGGTACTTTCTTTAAATTAGTTGGCTTTTAAAAAATTAAAATATTTCGCTTATTTTGAAGCTATTGATTGACATTTTTGAAATAATCAAACTCGGTGTTGTCAAAACGGTTCAAACGCGATAGGCGCTGGTACAAGAGTTTTTGGCAATGGCAGCGAGATCTACCGGTGTAAATTCTCGTTAAACCGATCGACAACTCGTAAGCGAAGTGCCAAATAAACAACGGTAGATAGCTCTGCCGAGGTACATTCACTAAGACGTGTGCAATAGAACGCGGTGCATCGGCGATTTCCCATACGACGAAACGTTTTCCCGGTACGGAGAAAAGCTCGGAAAAGCATCGAACCCGAAAGCGCATGCGAACCATCGCTCTGGTTATGCGAATACGGTACCGCGACGCAATAACTTAGTGTTCACAGCGACGAGTCTACTAAGTTTTATCGGACTGCGTTTTGTATAAATACCGGTAGATGTGCATCGATAAATTTAAGATCATACTTCACAGGATCATTTCTGTAGTATGCATCGTCCCCTCCAGGTGCAAATCTGGAGTCGTCATTGGCCACGATGATGAGACTTAGTCCATGTATCGGAGCGTGAGGCGGCTGATGGTCTACCGTTCCCGACGGTGGACCATTCAGCGACGATGATCGCAACTAGCTCTTGAGCTAGGAGGTACGTGGACAGTCTGAGTGGTTCACTTTTTATTACTGAAATATGATGAGAATAATATGAGTGGTGTTATTATTGTCTTTTCTTATATTGAAATCTCCAGAAACCTCATTGTGGTTGAATATATTACTTGACTCTAACTCCTAAATGATTGTGTATGTTCATATTGTGTCCGACGATGTTATAATATTTGTTAATCATATTCCATGTTCTAAGACGACTTAATGAAGAGGAATGATCGATTTTTAAAATGATTACGAATAAGTTATAATTAGAATAATAATAATAAAAAGAGTTGGTCCAACTCGGGTGTTGATTGAATAAAAATAAACAATAAACACATAGTTTTTCGTGTATTTAATAACTAATAATTGTATGGTTTGTGCTCTATGTATTCCAAGACGATGGGTATTGATTTAGGAGTTTTCATTAATTATTATTATCATTTAACATAATAATATAGTATGGGCATATAAATAATATTAATTATTGTCGATGTTAATCTGCAATACTCGGGAAGTTGTAAGGTTAACTAGCTGAATTATTACAACACAAACATTTCCCCACTCATTTTATAGATGCCAAATATACTAATATTGTCATGAAAACATAAATAAATATTAAAACACTTTTAACATCATAATATATTACAATTAATTATTTGTTTTGTAGTATTCTCAATTTTGGTTGTTGTTTCATAAAATTACAAGGCTTTTGCATACATTTTTCTTTCGGCCATTTACATTTATAAATTCGAATAGTGAATAATAGTTTTGATAATATAAATAATATGTTCTTTATATTGCAATTGTTTCAACTTGATATTTTTTTCTCCAATTTTTCAACCATTATTTTCATTATTTTTTTTACTATTCCACTTTCACTTTGTATGGTCTCAAACAAAGATTCAAATACCTGTAAAGCTATTTTACAAATATTAATTATAAAAAGTGACGGGGTTTTTTAGTCGTTACTATTTAAAAATATCAATATGCGAAAACGTTTTGTGCATAGTTAACATTTGATTAGATTCGTTGATTTCTTCTGTCGTTAATATAGTAGACATATAAATTGTACATTTAAAATGGTCAATGTAATGTTTTACCAGGTATCCTGAAAAATATACAATTGAACATTCTTCTAGTGTTGATTTTTCATTGCCGACATTTTCTTCTTCTGACTCCGATGAAAATGAACTTGTTAAGGTCTGATCAGTTTCAACGACACTTGTACATACAGCTTTAGTGCAATTTTCAATTATGTTTGAAACTTCTACATCATTTAGTATACCGACTGATAAAAATAATAGTTTTTTGTTAATAAGTTAGAATAATTTAAAAAATGTGAAATGTTTTGGAACAAATAAAAATTATTCATAAAACACTAAAACGTATCACGTATCCTACATAATATATATAATAAATAGTTCGTAGTTTTTATATTTATTTATGGCAAATTTAAAAAAATATATCCATATCGCCTCACTAATAAAAAAAAAAAAATTGTTTTTGTAGCAGATATATAAGTCTAACGAAGGTATAGGTACTGAAATAAGTTATAAGACGGATTATTATTAATTAAAATGTCATACTTACGTTTTTTTAAGTTTTATATTTTTCATGCACTTAATAACTGCTTTCTTTCTAGTAGATCGATTTTTTGAACGTATTTTTTTTTGGTGACATCATAAATATTAGTCAGTAGTAACCAAACATTTAAATACGTTAACGTAAAAAATAAATTAGGTACATAAAAATGGCACATTAAAACAATACACTTTTATGAAATTTTATTAGAACAGTTAAAAAACAACGACTAAAATTCATTTGGCAAGTTTTGATGAATCAACATTGTTCACTTAACAAACATTCAACTAAAAGTAATTTGCTGAATAGGGCTTGCGCATAGTAGGTGTCTAGGTATATTATAGGAATTATAGAAAATCTGAAATGTGCTTATATTTGTATTATACGAGTACCTATATGATATTATAATAGTATCGGTGTGTACTTAAGTTTCAGAATTATCCAGCAATTACATATTGTAATAGTCACCAAAATGAAATTATTTCATAATATCTAAAATATTCGTGGAAATTATTACGTGTGCGGAAACGTTGATTGCCGATACAAATATAATTTTAGTTTATCGTGGAGGGGAAAATCATATTCGATATTTCGATGTCGCAACGATTGTACGTACTGATTGTAGGCAACAGCTCATTACAGCCAAAAATATTTAATAACATTGAAATCTTTACGAAAAAACTGTTTCGCGCGAGAAAGAACCGAGGAG